TATATTTATATAAAAATTAATTAAGTTTAAGTTTTGAATAAAAGGATATATAATAGTAGAACATATTTTTAGAATAATTATAGAGCCATAATAACTAAAGTGTTAATTGTTTTTTATACAACGATAATAAATTATTATATTTTAATTATAAAATAACAAAAATCATCAATAAAATTATTTTATCTTAAAAAACCCATAATAATAATATAATAGAAAAACATTTGTTTATTTTAATAAAAATAAAAATAATAATAATAATAATAACTGATTATAATATTTGTATAGATTTTTTATTATAAAATAATTTAATAAGTGGTATTTTTTGTTTTATTATTAAAATATATGTTCACTATGGTTGAATAAAAAATACAACAAAAAATATATTATTACAACCATAGTTATATAGAAATTAGAAAAATATTTGTATAGATTTTAACTTATGTATTAATATCTATTTTTATACAATATCAAATATTTGTATATTAATTAAAAAGGTAAAAACACTAGCAATTAAATTATTTAATGTTAAAAAGTCTATAAAAATAATTTAATTGGTTATCGTCTTTCTTCAAATGCAAGAAAAATATTATTTCTTAAAATGTAATGTGAATTAACTTTTGACATTATCAAAAGAGAATTAATTCAATCCATTATTTCATTAAATCAAAAATTAATGGCTATGATTAATTCTTCTTATTTCTCACAATATATATAAGTCATATCCTATGAAAATGAATCAAGACCATTAATTAAATTTGATAAAGGAGTTGAGAGAAAGTTGAATGAGAATAATAATCAGTATCCCTAATAAATTCGAGAGCGGTTGAAAGAGAAAGTTTAATGAAAAATAAAAATGAAATATGATTCATTTGAGTGGTGTTTTAATCTCATTCATTCATTTCAAATTAATGGTTCAGATTTATTCATATATTCTCACATAAAAATATTATTCTCGTATGATATGTTATATATGTCATGTAGCCTAGTGATTAGAGTTCATATTTTAAATATGAACACGTGAGATGTTACAGATTCGAACTCACGACTCTGCACCTATGTCAATGTGTAGCTATTAACTGAACTGACTTAACGAAACAAAATAATATATCTTTTTGGGATTAAATAAACATGTATTTAATGCAGATTAATTACACTAATTTGTTTATATTGTTAAGATTTTATTTTTGAGTAAAGATCCATTTTAGTCCCTCATAAAAGTTACACAATTCAAATTAGTCCCTCACAAAAAAAAAACTGATGTAATCTCTTACAAAACTTAACTAGACCATACTAGTCTTTTATTAATATTTTTTTTAACTGGTTTTTTTCTCACTTTTAATCTGTGACACTGGACTGTTAATTTGGATTTTATTTTTCATTTTTTAATTACTAAATTGATATTAATTTTTAATTTCTTTTTTAAATAATTCTGAACTAGTAATATCGAAAAAAACAAAAGTTGTTTCTTATGTCAATATTTTTTTAAACAGTTTTTTTCCTTACTTTTAAACCGTAATTGGGCTATCAAGTTGAATTTTGTTTTTCATTCTTTAAATACTAAATTGATTTTTATTTTTAATTTCATTTTAAATAATTCTGAATTAATAATATTGAAAATGCCAAAATTATTTCTTATAAGTAATGACATTTAAATTACATCTTATGTCTTTACCACTAGATCAATCTACATTCAATGCAAATAATTTCTGTGATTTCTAAAAATATTAAATAATTCTGAATTTAAAATAAAAAATACAAATTTTAAATTTGTTCAAGTTAAATGATAGTCATTTTCTAATTATACAAATCAATTTATATCGTTAATATTTTTAATAATGAATATTTAATTTAATAATTCAGAATAAACATTTACTTATTTTAAATAACACACAGATAAATATTTACTAATTTCAAATAATACACAATTTAAAAATAAAATTAATAAAATATAAATCTTAAATATAATTAATCAAATAGAAATTGTTAATTAATATTTATTTAAATTTCTATTAAATTAAATAATGACTATTTAGTTTGAATTAATTAAACAATTTTAAAATTTTATTGATTGTTTAATTTAAATTAATTACATATTTTATCAATTAATTGAATTATAGTAAATTAATTAACTACTATTTAATTTGAATTAATTTGAAATAAGTAAATATTATATCTGTGTAATTTAATTTCAATTAAATATTATTTAATTTAATTATATTTGATTAATTATATTGAGGGTTTACATTCTATTAATTTTATTTTAAAATTTGTGTATTATTTGAATTAAGTAAATATTTATTTGTGTGTTATTTAAAATAAATAAATAAATAAATGTTTATTCTCAATTATTAAGTCAGGATTAATCATTAGAAATATTAATAAGAATTACTCTAATTACGAAGTAATTACCATTTAATTCGAAGGAAGTTGGGTTCGTCACCTCATGCGTACAAACTTTGTATTTTTTTATTTTAAATATAAAATTATTTAATATTACAATAAAACATGAGAGTCTTATGTCATGAATATATATTAACATAATGGTAAATGCATTAGATGTTATTTAAAAATTATGTATTCAATTTCTTATAAGAAACAATTCTTGAATTTTTTAATATTATTAATTCAGAATTGTTTAAAAATGAAATTAAAAATTAAAAATTAATTTAGTATTAAAAAATGAAAAATAAAAAATAAAATTTATCTTGGTAGTCCAATCACGGTTTAAAAGTTTAAAAAAAACCGGTTTAAGAAAAATATTGACAGAAAAACTAATATGACTCGATTAAATTTTAAAAACGATTAAATCAGATGCTTTTTTTTTATGAAAGACTAAATTGAATTGTGTAATTTTTGTAAGGAACCAAAATACATCTTCACTCTTTGTTTTTTATTGGTAAAAAAAATTTGATTATATTTCTTTGTTTTATATTTTGCTTTAGCAATTCAAATATTGGCAAAAAATTATGGCATAAAATTTTGAATATAAATTATACAACAGTGTTTTACTAATAATATGCTTTCTACTTCAAATTATAAGTCATTTTCCATATAAAAAATTATACAACAGTGTTTTACTAATAATATGCTTTCTTCTTTTCATTCTATTAATTTTAATTTCATTTTTAAATAATTATGAATTAATAATATCGAAAAAAACAAAAATTGTTTCTTATAATTAATCCTTTTGTCAATATTTTTTTGAAACAGTTTTTTACTGGACTGTCAAGTTGGATTTTGTTTTTCATTCTTTAAATATTAAATTGATTTTTATTTTTAATTTTTTTTAAACAATTCTGAATTAATAATATTGAAAATGTCAAAATTGTTTCTTATAAGTAATCGAAACCAAGACATTTAAATTACATCTTATGTCTTTACCACTAGATAAATCTACATTCACTTTCTAACCATACAAATCAATTTCTATCGTTAATATTTCTAATAATGAATATTTAACTTAATAATTCACAATAAATATTTACTTATTTTAAATAACACACAAATAAATATTTACTAATTTCAAATAATATACAATTTAAACATAAAATTAATAAAATGTAATATAATTAATCAAATAGAAATTGTTAATTAATATTTATTTAAATTTCTATTAAATTAAATAATTACTATTTAGTTTGAATTAATTAAAAAAAATTAAAATTTTATTGATTGTTTAATTTAAATTAATTAAATATTTTAACAATTAAATGAATTATAGTAAATCAATTAACTATTATTTAATTTGAATTAAATTGAAATAAGTAAATATTATTTGTGTGTAATTTAATTTCAATTAAATATTATTTAACTTAATTATATTTGATTAATTATATTGAGGATTTACATTTTATTAATTTTATTTTAAAATTTGTGTATTATTTGAATTAAGTAAATATTTATTTGTGTGTTATTTGAAATAATTAAACAAGTAAATGTTTATTCTTAATTATTAAGTTAAGTATTAATAATTAGAAATATTGATAAGAATTACTCTAGTTACGAAGTTATTACCATTTAATTTGAAGAAAGTTGGATTCGTCACCTCATATGCACAAACTTTGTATTTTTTATTTTAAATATAAAATTGTTTAATATTATAATAAATCATGAAAGTGTTATGTCATGAATATACATTAATATAATGATAAATGCATAAGATGTTATTTAAAAATCTTATATTCGATTCCTTATAAGAAATAATTTTAACATTTTTAATATTACTAATTCAGAATTGTTTAAAAATGAAATAAAAAATAAAAAAAATTAATTTAGTATTTAAAAAATGAAAAATGAAAAATGAAAAATAAAATCCATCTTGATAGTCCAATTACGGTTTAAAAGTTAAGAAAAAATCGGTTTAAAAAAATATTGATAGAAAAACTAATATACCCGATAAATTTTGTAAAGGATTAAATCAGATTTTTTTTTGAAAGATACTTTTTGAAAACAATTATAATTTTTTTAAAGAAAATTATATGTATTTTTAATTTGTGTGTGAAATGGACAGATGACCTATAATTTAAAATAGATGTAGTATATTTGAGAAATGGAATGTGTGTTTGTAAAAAAAGCTAAAAAGTATGTAGATGGTAAGTGATATTAAAATAATTGAGATATTATGACTTTTTTAATTTGATGAAGAAAACTGGGAAAGGTAAATTCAAAAATTATTATTTAAAAAAAACAAAAAAGTACTCCTTTTATTACTTATTATAATTAAATTTTATTTTTTTAAATTTATTAAATAAAAAGTGTATCGGATCTATATATAAACTAGATACATTATTATTCAATAAATTTAAAAAATTTATATTTATTTATAATAAAAAATAAAAAATATTAAGAAAAAATCAATGTATTCAATTCATATCCTTGACCTCATAAATTTTATTTTGATTAAATTATTATACCATTTTTATTTGTTTTTGAACATTTGTCTATAAATAAGAAATGTACTAAACTCCGATCTATCATAATTAATTCATCTCTAAAAGAAAATGTCAAAAATGATACACATATTGTTACTGGTTATGTGTTTGGTGACCATTATTACTGGTCACAGAGATCATGGTATGCATAGTGGGTTGAAAGAAGATTTGGAATTGGAGAGGCAATTAAACATCCTTAACAAGCCTCCTATAAAGAGTATTCATGTATTTTTCACACAATTTATTGGTGGTTTCAATTGGTTTAATTTGACATTTCTTTCTGACAATTTTATTTTTATTTCATTTTGGTGACTTTCATAGACAAAGTCAGGATATATAATTGATTGTGTTGACATTAACAAACAACCTGCTTTTAATCATCCTTTGTTAAAAAATCACAAATTACAGGTAAAATAATTTAGTACATATTATTTTAATTTTATTTTTTATGGCTTGTAAACATTGTTTGAATCTTCATTGCTTTTTTTTGTTAGCAGAGAAAACCAATTTTTGAAAGAAACATTAGTGAAACTAGAGATCAGAATTCACGAATCAAGTCAAAATTCATATTTGAAAAAGTTAGGTGTCCCGAAGAAACTGTTCATATTCGGAGGACAACGAAAAATGATTTAATTCAAACAAAATCTTTATTCAATATTCATAATCAAACTCAAAATGAATCTCTTAATCATGTAAGTTTTCTTATATATATATATATATATATATATATATATATATATATATATATATATATATATATATATATATATATATATATATATATATATATATATATATATATATATATATATATATATATATATATATATATATATATAATAATTAATATATTATTATTTTTAATTAATATGTAAATCTATTGAAATTGTAGTTTGCTCGTGTGTATCTTTCAAGAATTGGTGCTCCTTATTATGGAGTAAATGGAACTACTAGTGTTTGGAATCCAAATGTTTATAAAGGTCAATCAAGCGCAAGTCATTTATATGTTAAAAGAGGAGAAGGAGATAACATTGACAAAATCTCAATAGGATGGCATGTGAGTTTAAATTTATTCTATAAGTTTAATGTTCGTTTATTTTAAAAATATGTACGTATAAATGGATATACATTTTATATTTAAATGAATTTGAAGACTTGTGAGTTATTTTCTAATTTATTTTGTATTCGATGTTAGGTGTTTTCCGAATTATATAATGACAACCAAACACATTTATATTTGTTTTGGATGGTAAGTAAATATTTATATATTATTTAATATTCAATGATTAATAGTATATAAATTATTTTATATAAGTGACATAAATTGTTATGAATAATTTTATTATTATTTTTAATATTTTTTTATATTTTATTAATCTCAATTTATATGTTATTTAGTTAGAAAATTAAAATACTTGTTTATTAAAATATAACGCGGTTTTAAAAAACTACAGTCAAGTAAAAATGGATGCTTTAATATGTTATGCAAAGGTTTTATTCAAGTTGATAGATCATACACTTTTGGTGCACGTATATCTGTAACATCTATTTTTGGCGGAACCATAATGGAAACGCCACTTCAAATTGCACAGGTAAAATCATCTATTTACGTAAAGTTTAAATTTAAAATATTTAAATTATGTAACGTTATAAAAATATTTTTCAAATTCTAATGTTAGCAAGCGGTTATATAATATTATCAAATATATACATTTTACACTACTAAAAAAAAGACATTTGAGAAAAGGTTTTTACATCGGGTATCAAAATATATGATGTAAAAAATACAATTAACAAACTTTTTACATCAGGTATTTATTTGCAATGATATAAAAAATATGAAAAAAAATATATTTCGCTACCTATTACATCGGGCAAACGCATCCACCGATGTAAAAAGTTTTCAGAAAAAAATACGGTGGCATTTTTGTAAATAAGAAACAAGGTAGTAGAAATATTAATAAAAAACATGCAACATATTATATTCGTTGACTAAAAACCGATGTAATATCTTCACAACAGATATTAATATAAAAAATAAATTAAAGAATAAATTAATTTTTTTGTAACTTATTACATCGGGTATTACAATGCACCGATGTAATAGGTGCATTATAAAAAAAAGTCAGAAAAAAAACTTGCCAACCCTTACATCGGGTATTACAATGCACCGATGTAATAGGTGCATTGTAAAAAAAAAAAAATTTCAGAACCCTTACATCGGGTATTACAATGCACCGATGTAATAGCCATCCAACCCTTACATCGGGTATTACAATGCACCGATGTAATAGGTGTCAAACCCTTATTTCCCAAACAGTAGAAAAATTACAACTCCATTTCCCCCTGTTCGTGTTTCCGATTCTTGTCGCTTCCGATTCCGATTCCGTCTTCCTTAACCTCGCTTCCGATTCCGATTCTGCATGCCCGCCCGATTCCGATTCCGTCTTCCTTAATAAAACAGCAGCACCACATCTAAACACTGAAACACCACCACTCCGCCGAGTTAACCCGACTAAGTCGAATCTGCAAAACCATGTCGAAGGACGAAGGAACCTTCGTTTCCGATCTGATCAACTTTCTCAACGCATCTCCAACTGCTTTCCACGCCGTCGGTAATAACCAAAACCAACTCCTCTCTTCTCTCTCAATTCGCAACTCATCATTCACTCACCGATTTCCTTTTCAGACGAGGCCAAGAAACAGTTGCAAGCCGTCGGATACGAACAAATCTCGGAGAAGGAAGTTTGGGAACTAAAAGCCGGTCACAAATACTTCTTAACCAGAAACCATTCCACCATCGTCGCTTTCGCCGTTGGCAAAAGGTTCATTTTCTTCTTCTTTGACGATAATCAATAACGCATCGTTTTTCATTTTTCATTTTTCTTTCTCAGATATGTTGCTGGAAATGGATTCCATATAATTGGTGCTCACACCGATAGTCCTTGTTTGAAACTGAAACCGGTGTCAAAGGTTATTAATTAATTTTATGTTAACTTTGATTAGTCAATACATTTTGGATTAATGAGAGAGGTTTAGGGTTTAGTTTGGGTTTATTTATGCAGGTGGTTAAGGGTGGAATATTGGAGGTTGGTGTTCAAACCTATGGAGGAGGTTTATGGTACACGTGGTTTGATCGGGATTTGACTGTGGCTGGGAGGGTTATCTTAAAAAGAGAAAATGTTGGCTCTATTTCGTATTCGCATCGCCTTGTTAGAATTGAGGAACCTATAATGCGTGTCCCCACTTTGGCAATTCACTTAGACAGGTTTGTGTTGATGTTGATAATGTGTGCATTGTTTCTTTATTTTGCTTGGTATATGATTAGTTTATTGTGGTATTTTTCCCTTTGGCCGATTCTGTGTAGAGGTGTTAATGATGGATTCAAAGTAAACACGCAGACTCATCTTGTTCCCATTCTTGCAACGTCTCTAAAGGTACTCCTGCATTTCTAGTTGATTCGAGCTTCTTGGCTGTTTATGGAATATTCGTTGGAAATTATCTTTAACCTGACTGTAATGCCTGTGTTTTAATGCTTAGTTTTGTTTTCATTTTTGACTTTAAAGTTAATTTTTTGGCAGTGGTGAAACTTTGAAGGTTTTTGTGAGGAGGTCAATTTGCTTAGTGTTTGTATATATACAATTTTTCCGTCAAGTTAGTGATTGATATTGGTGGTTCAGTGTTTAATCATGGTGACCTTTTGCTCCCTGAACATGGTTTGAGTCCTACCTGGGTTCAAACGCAGATTATGCTCCTTTATGATAAGTCCACTTTGTCTCTGGACCGCTTCGTAAACTGGTTAAATGTGTGCACAACATAATATAATATAACATGATACTATAATATGTGTATATACCTATTTAGAATGAATTTTTTTGTAGAAGTTGTGGCCTCCCGATGTCCCTATAAAGATCCACCAGTGATTATAGGAGGTTTTGTTAGTATGATTGTACGGGGATAGACAGCTCAGTTATTGGCTAAACATATGTTTCATTGTATTGCATGAGATTATTTCTACATGATAAACTGTATTTGTACTTCTATTAGCATGCAAAATTGCTAGTTAGTACTTATCTTAATTTTTTGTATTCAATCTTTGATGCAATACTTTTGGGCGTGTGTACTTTGTTTCTCTGTCTACTGAGTTGATTAAAAAATTATTGAAGCTCCTACTGACAGTGCTCACTTGGATTAAAAGTGTTCCTTTTCAATGGTTTGGATTTAGCTTTTATACATTCGTTGAAATTTGGTGTGCAGGCAGAGGTTAATAAAATGTCCTCTGAAAACGGCTCAGTTGAAAGTGGAAAGCAGAATGACGGAAGGAAAGAAAATGATAAAACAGGGTCTAGCAATGCAAAGCACCACCTTATACTTTTACAGGTTAACTGGCTTGAAACTCACAATGCCTTTGTGATGCTTTAACTTTAATTACATTTCTGTTTTTGTTTTTTCTGGGATTGAAGTGTTAATACTTCGGAACGTGGTTTTAATGTGTAAGTTGTAAATCCTTAACATTGGCCTAGGCATGTATACCTGACATTTATCAATCCTATTATTGTTGATTGTCATTCTTCCTCTTATCTCCAGTTGCTTGCAAGTAAACTTGAGTGTGAACCAGATGACATTTGTGATTTTGAATTGCAAGCTTGTGATACACAACCAAGCATAAACAGTAGAAAAATTACAACTCCATTTTCCCCTGTTCGTGTTTCCGATTCTGGTCGCTTCCGATTCCGATTCCGTCTTCCTTAACCTCGCTTCCGATTCCGATTCTGCATGCCCGCCCGATTCCGATTGCCACCGCGACTGCCTTATGCCCGCCCGATTCCGATTCGGTAATATTCTTTGACCGCCGTTTCGGCCGCCATTTCCGGTCTTCCTCTTCGACCGCCGTTTCCGATTTCGATTTTGCATGCCCGCCCGATTCCGATTGCCACCGCGACTGCCTTATGCCCGCCCGATTCCGATTCAGTAATATTCTTTGACCGCCGTTTCGGCCGCCGTTTCCGGTCTTCCTCTTCGACCGCCGTACCAGAGACAGGAAATCCAAACGGTTTATGGTTTACATTAAAAGAAGGTTGTCGTTATAGGCTGATGTTTACATTCCAAGTAAACCATAATATTGTTTCTGGTCTTAAATACACCAACACTGTTTGGAAAACTGGCCTCAAAGGTAAGTAACTATATCTTAGATGATTGATAAGATTAAATTAATAGTAATCTTGTAGTAATTTGTGAGGTTTGTTACAGTTGATAGCACTAAAGATATGATTGGAACATTCAGCCCTCAAGCAGAACCTTACACACATGAAATTCCAGAAGATACAACACCATCTGGGTTATTTGCTAGAGGGACATACTCTACTAGAACTAAGGTACTGTTTCTATCTCCAAGAATTTTTCGTTCTTCCCCTTGAGTTTATCCTTGTATGTGATTGGCTCATGCAAATCTTATAAATATAAATGGTCTTCTATCATTGGCTTCCATTACGTAGGTTTGTCATCCATTAGCTTGAACATATCTCCATTATGAGTGATATAACTTTCCTTCTTGAACTATACATGACACAATTTTTTTCAAACAACAAAATTAGTGTCATATACTAGAATAAAAATGAGTTCATGAATATCGTGTAATTGGTAAGTTCCCAAGAAATATACGTGAGTCAATAATTACGCTTAAATTCTAAATCTTTCCTTAACTAGAACTTTTCTAGACATGCATTAAAACACTAACACACTTTATTTCTAACAACAAGAATATTTCTTTACTGATGTAGAATATCAAACATTATTTCTTACATACTGAGCAATATTTTCTTGTAAATACAACACCTTACTATCATAAAGCTCTAAGAATTTTCATATCACTATTGGAAAATGTCTGCATAATTTCCCAATAATTTATTAAAAACAATTTTTAATTTTTTAAATTCATTGAATATATATTAGTAATTGTACAACAATAATTTATTATGCAAATTTTGTATTTTAGGAATGCAAGGCTCTTTGATGGAATGGAAGAAAACGAGTATATGGACTAAAAGCTCCTCCTCGTGTGCTGCGCGCTGTTAGAGATTTAAGACTCTTATTTGGGCATTAAAAGTCTTATGTTTACATTTTCAAACATTATAATTTTTATGTTTTTTATATATTTTATGTTACTTCAAATAAGTATTTAGAGTAATTTTTATTGTGGCAAGTCTGAGAACTTATATTAAAATTATCAATAAATTTCTCTGTCATAAATATAGTCAGTGTGATATTGGAAAAATATGAAAAAATGGATACAAATTATATTTGTACAGGGAAACATCCAGAAAATAAATAATCTATTCCAAAAAAATTTCATACATTTTACATCGGTTATTAGTAAAAACTGATGTAAAAACTTTCAAAAAGGGACTTTTTACATCGGTTGGGGATAATAACCGATGTAAAAAGTCGCGTCACTGGGGACTTTTTACATCGGGTATTACTTCCAACCGATGTAAAAAACTGGATCAATTTTTTTAAAAAATGTGCATAATAATTGTTTCTTACATCGGTTCATATATTATAACCGATGTAAAAAAAGGACTTTTTACATCGGGTATTACTTCCAACCGATATAAAAAACTGGATCAATTTTTTAAAAAATGTGCATAATAACAGGTTATTACATCGGTTCTGATATTATAACCGATGTAAAAAGTCCCTGATTTACTATATCGTCTGACTTTACATCGGACCCAGAACCGATTTAAAAAGTCAATTTCACCCGATTAAAAAATCATTTCTGCACTAGTGTTAAATGATATTATATTCTTTTAATTTAATCATAAAATTTTGAGTTATTACAATTGTAATAGTAAAGTCTTAAAATATTGTGGTGTTCAGGATAAAGGAGGCAATTGGTGGTTAAATGTGTTAAATAAGGATGTTGGATACTTTCCTGCAGCTTTATTCTCCTCATTCAACGGAGCTGATCAAGTGGGATTTGGTGGTTATACTGTAACTCCTGCGGTTACTGATAGCCCTGCAATGGGTTCCGGACAGAAACCTGATGGTGACTTCACTCATGCATCTTATTTTAGGTTTTTGAAATTTTTGGATAAAATTCAAAACCATTTTGATCCTCTACCATTTATGGTAGGAATAGACAATGATACTCCTAATTGTTATGGTGTTACGAACTATGAAGATAGAAAAAGAAGTAATGGATATTCCATTCAATTTGGAGGGCCGGGTGGTAAATGTAGTAATTAATTAGAGTGAACAAATTTATATGTAATGAAGATTTCTAATAATATGTGGGCAAATATGATTTGCCTTTTTTATCTACCTTATAAAACAATGGTATTTTTTATTTTTATTTTTAAATAAATGAGGAATAGTATTTTATATTATTAGATCATCAAACCCCTTTAAAAACTTTTAAAATTGACTTTTTTTTAAAAATATTTAATTAAAAAAGGCAAATCATATTTGCCCACAAAGTGATATATGAAATTGAATATTAAGTGATATTATAAGAATAATAATTTTTTATATTAAGTTGAATATTAAAATTGTAGATAAGAAAGTACACATAAGATTACTATTTTAATCATCAATAATTCCTTTCAAGTACTTGTATAATCATATCTCACAATTAGTTGGATGCATGCCTAAAAAGAAAGCCAATTTAATAAACACATCGCCTTTTAGAAATCATTTTTATGTTTATACATTTAGAAATCATGTATCAGTTCAATTTTGATAAATAAAATTAATAGTATATATTTTCATTAATTTTTATAGTTACTAAAAAAAAACACTTTCATATATCACTTTTAATATAAATTTAATAGTAAATGAAGTTAAAAAAATTATCAACAATATTAGTTGGCCGTTTTAAAAATTATCAATAATATTAGTTGGAAGTAATAAAAATTATTAAAGCATTTGAAAGGTGAGATTGAGAAATATGAGGAGTTAGAAAAAAAATGAAAAATGTATTTTAGTAATTCATTTATTCAACTATTTTATTTTTTTAAATATCAAAATTTTGAGATGAATTAATAAAATTAGACCAAATTTTTTTCTATATAATAGTTTATTAGGAATGTAAAAAAAAACATCAAAATTATATTTTGTGAAAAAATGATTAATTATAACAATGTACTTTCTTTGAATTAATTAATTAATTATTTATTTATAGTTGTTGAATAAATTATCTACTTATTCTATGTTTGTACGTCTATATATTTAGTTTTATTTATATTATTAAATACATATCAAAATGAAATGATAATAATTATGCATACAAATAAAAATTATATTGATACTCAAGAAAATTATTATAAAAGAGTGTGTCTACAATATTCAATAAAATCAATATAATATAGAGTGTTTAACCTAACACATAAATTAGTGTATATTAAATTTATGTGACAAATAAATAAAAATTAAATTATATTACAAAATTTAGAAGTCCGTGTATTCCTTATCATTATTTAATTTTTTAAATTGAAAATTTTATACATGACTCTTGTAATAGTAATTAGAGACACAATATTATTAATAATATTAATTGAGAGTTACAAAAATTAATAGAAAATGTGAGAAAAAAGTACACATCTTGTTAAACAATCTTCACCATGTATATTGTTGTTGATATGAAATGATAAAAAAAACCTTCATATGAAGTTATATAATTCAATTGTAATTCATACTATTGACACTCAATGTAAGTATAGAGCTTACAATAAAAGTTTTACGATAGACGCAATAACTAGAAAACTTACAAAAAAATGACAATGAATAGAAAGAAAAGTGATTGATATAATTTAATATATGTTTAGTGGTGTGATGTTAAAGAAAAATATAAGAAATATAAATCAAAATGTTATAGTGTCTACCTTGCTGTAAGAGAATTAGTCTTTCAATAAAATTCTCATATACATCTCCAAAACCTACACATAAAATTTTAAACAAATGATATACACTTTTAAAAAAGAAAAGACGAAACATGTGAACTCCTAAATTTGTACATGAAATTTTAAATAAATTATACACATTTTATATGAAAGAGGAAACATATGATAATGTAAAAGAAATGGAAAAAATTTAAATTTTAAAATCTGTTTAAAAAGAGTAGTGTGAGCAAAGATGTATAATTAAGAAAATAGATAAATAATTGAAAGGATGATAATATATTAATTGATCTTACCGGATCAGACTTGGACCGTCACGACTGCCTCCGAGCTGAAGTTGAACGAGATGGGGGGTACCTGCAAGGCACTCCAATGCTAAAGTAAGTGGTAGTACGAGCAGGCAAGAAAGTGTGTGTATGGTAAGAGAATGAATACCTGACCCTCTGGGAACAGAGGGTATTTATAGCCCCCAACGCTGGGCCAAGGTCCCTTCATTGGGCCGGGCAGGTTTGGCCCAATGAAGGAACTACCAAGTTCTACGTGTGTAGTGGGGACCCGCACGTGGTCCCCTTCCTGGATGTTCTGCGAGAAGTACGGGCGGACGAGGACACGGTCTTTTCGGAATCCAGGTGATGGTGTAATGATCATAGTCTGTCCTACGAGGGGTGCTCGAGCTGAGGTCGAGTTGGACTGCGTGAAGTCGAGGATGTCGTGCTCACGGACAGTGGCGGGCACGGCTGTAGCTTCTTGGTCGGCGCGACCCCTTGCAAAGCTGTTTGGATTGGGCCTTCATCCTTGCTCTTGGGCCAGCCCGGCCCAGTCCAGAACAGGAGTCCCCCAAGTCGTGGTTCCTGGAGTAGGAATCATGACTTGATCTTAGTTCGCCTCTGTCACGAGGTCCCGTGCTCGGACAAAAAGATTTGGTTCCCCGTGGTCGCTCGAGGAGTTTCCCCTGTGTCGCGCTCGTGAGATAATTCCTTTCGAGGAGTGCTCGGGGGACTCGCGACGGGCTGTGTTTGTTGAGCGCACGAGGCATCCCTTGGGAACCGTGACGCCACCCTATTGAAGATAGGGTCATCATTGCCTAGGGGAGCTATGCGTCGAGGAGGGAAGTTCGAGGTTCCCCGGGGTGACATTTTGTATTCCACGTCATCACTATAAATAGGGTCCTTGGGCCCCAAAAAATGTTTTTCCTCTTCGCGCTTCTCTTCCTTCCTATGCCTCTGCTGCTGCTGCTTTTACTAGATTTTCAAAGGACCGCCGTACTCTCCGCCGCTGATTCTCTTCTCCGTCGCCGTATCTCCTTCCTGATTTCAAGTAAGCGTCTTATCCCTTATGTTTTTCCTCTGTGGCATATGATTTTTTCCATTGTTTCATATGTTAGAGACTGTGCGTCTGGGATTAGCCCCGGTAGATTCGTATTTTAGCCCGGAAAATCCATGTTGATGCTCGGCAAATGAGTGTTTTTGCCCGATAAACGCATAGTTTAGGCATGTGACTCGCAGTGCTGCCCGAGATCTTCATGATTCAGGGCGCCTAACTCGTGATAGTGTCCGGTAAATTCATAGTTCTAGGTTTAGGATTTATGATATCGCTCGCCATATTCATAGCCTAGGTCGACATATTCGTGACTGGCTGAGATGTTGGTCCATTTAGGCAATCTGTAGGACGACTTGTCGCGGTATCTTAGCGTCGGGGAGGTGACTCCACTCTTTTGGTCGAATCTTCAACTTTTTAATCGTGTGTGGAGCGTGGCTCGGTTTGTCGTGCCCTTCTTCCCGTCAGTTATGGCGAGCGTGTGGATTTGCTCCCCAATTGATCGGTTTCCTGTGCTTTGCAGGTGATAATGGCGGACGAACCGTGTTCCTCGGGGCACAATGAGGTGGAAGACCAAAGCGCCGAGGAGAATGTGAATCTGGTCGATACCATCGACGATCCTCTGCTGGAGTGGGTGGGCGCCGAGCCCAGAGGGATTGCTTCTGCTTATAGTCGGCGTAGTCGGAGTGCGTATACTATCATCGAGCAGGGCGGTAGCCAGCCCGGCTTTCAGAAAAACTTCGTTGTCACCAGACCGACTCTTACCGCGCGGTTCTGCTCGGAGTTCCCCGAGTACGAGTTTCCCATGTATGAGATTGCTTTTAAGGACCTTGGACTAAAGCTGCCCTTTAGCGATTTTCAGGTCGGGGTCTTTAGTCATCTGGAGCTGGCCCCGTCGCAGCTTCACCCCAACTCGATTGCTTTCCTCCGTGCGTTTGAATTGACATGTCGCTTTTTAAGGATTGGGGAGGCCATACCTCTTTTCTTCAGAGTCTTCCATTTACAGCGCCAGTATCGGGGAGGTAGGCACGGTTGGGTTTCCCTGAAGCAGTCGAAGAGACTGTTCAGGATGTATATGGTTTCTGTTCGGGGGTTCAAGGACAAGTGGTACATCGTGCGGCCGGTTACCAAAACTGGTCTAGAGTCTGTGTACGAGGAAGAAAAGGTGGTGACCGACGATCACGGGGAGGCTCTTCTAGATGATGAGGGCCACCCGGTGTTGGGGCGTGTGGCCAAGTTTCCTCTTCATTGGACCTTGCGTCACTACGAGCATGGCACTGGGCACTTCCATACGCCCGCGGGTGGGATGAGTACCGAAGATGAGGAGGCCTATGGTACCCTCTGCAGATACGTCGACAGTTTCTTCCCTGCTCGGTGGGCTACGAGGGAGGGGAAGGATATTCTCGACGAAGATGGTTATCCGACCTTTGAGGCCCGACCTATCGATACGAAGGCGCTCGTGGAGTGCCAGTCTTTCAGGCAGGCTCCGAACCTGCTAGGTTACTATTATTTTTTGTGTCTTGTTTGAATTTCTTTGTTTGTCACTTGCTCGTCACTAACCCGGGATTATTTTATGCAGGTCTCATGGCTGGACGAAAGGAGAGGCTCCTGAAGCTGACGCAAGATAAGAAAGTCAACAAGAAAGTGGTGCGAGCTCCTCATGCGATGAGGATGGGCCCGCCAACTAGCCCGGGCTATACTTCTGGAGGGTCCCCAGACGCTCAGGATGTTGAGCCGCATACCGACCTGATACCGAGGAAGAGGAACCGGGTGGAGAGCCCACTGAAGGTCGGCGAGGAGTCTGGTGCAGTGAGGTCCTTCGGGTTGCCCCCCTGTTTTAAAGAGGAGGGTTTCTTCGAGGGGTTTCCCTTGTCCGTAAGCGCCGACGAAGCTGATACCATTAAGCGGCTAAGCAAGGAAAATTGGAGAAGGCATCTGGCCGCCAACATGGTCGGGATGGTCAAAATGGCCGAGATGGTCGTTGTCCTGGCCGAGGAGGGGAAACATGTGATAATGCAAAAGAAAAGACGAAAC